AATCTGATAGAGTAACTTTCTTATGTACCCTCGTATGATTGTCTTTTTCACTTTCACCTATTGACAGTCGAAATATCGTCGGGTTGTGGAATTGAAGCATTTCGTGGGGTGTCGAGAGATCGCGTGCGATATACCTAATTTAAAACGTCAAAAAGCAACAGTTGGAGCGTCGCTTTTTTTTCCAATCCCGCCTTTTCCGTTACGCGAACGGAGCGATTTTCGGTCCATGTGGGTCATCAGAATTCGCTAATTGGCAGTTGGAATCAATTAAAAAGTACCAGTATGTTTTTCGACGGGTTTATGGAGAATTATCGGAGAATGAAATTCGTGTTTATCTGATCGCTTTTATGGCTTTGCCGGATGAGTCACCGTCTGTGCGCCTCAGGGATATATGAATTTCGATGGCAATTACATCGGTCATTTGGATTTTAAAATTGATACATCACTCCTTCTTTGAATCGTAGCTACAGCCACCACGTTCTCCAGATGTTGCTCGTATTAACATTTTACTGTACACGTGCAATTAAATTTTCTATTACAATTAAACCATCCGTGTTGGGATAAGGTAAGTCGTTTATTAATAATCGATTTAACAGTACCCCAGTTTCTTCTAACGCTGATGACTCACGGGCTTATCGCACCCTTCCTCTCGTTTAATTTAATTAATCCGCTTACGTACGGATGCCGTTTTTTTTGTCGAAAGAAGTGTATACGTGCGTTGTACCTAATAGCACAGTTATGGTCCGGTCGCAAAGTTGCATTCCGAATGCAAATTAAATCAATAACCGTTAACAACAAACATTAACACCGCGTAGGGCGCCCCAGTGTATACATACACACATACATACATACACTTTGACATAGCGTAGTGAACGTAATTGTGAGTCATGCGTGTGTGTGTGTGTCTACTGTCTACGAAAACCGATTCGAGGAGTATAGTTTGAGGGTATTGGCGCGTTAGAATCAGATTCGGGCATGTAGATTAGAGAACGGACCCCGACGGTCGTGTGTGTACGCGTATGTGTGCGGATTGTTCGCCGATCTGGCACAGTTATACACCGATTAGTTACGCAGGGGTGCACGACCCTTATCTACTCCCCCTTCGCCTGTCTCTGTATACCTTGCGAGATTGATTTTTTTAGCGATAGTTCGTGGAGAATATCGCGAGTTCCAGTTCGCGAAGCGTAGAAATAGATTTTTTTTATTTATACGCACTACGCAATAAATTTCGAGAAAAAAAAATTGTACCAGAGGAAAAAATCGCAACAAACAATTTTCAATTCGAACGGGAATTGATATTCGGTCGTAAATATTATATCTATATATATTTTTTTGCGGTTAATTCGTCATCATCTCGTAGCTTCCTGCGTTAAAAATCTCAATGCTACATTAATTCCAGTTTCCTCCCCGCCTCTTTTTTCCCATCGTTTCGCGAAAAACAATCCGCGTTCTCCTGTTACGTTAGAAACTCATCTTTTATTAATGATCACAACAATATTTTTTCCCGCTTGTCCCATAAATCGTTAGGCAAATCATCGATCCTCGCCCGCTTCTCCGTAAATTGTTATTCTTTCCTGTCCCCGTATATAATAAACGCCGGGGTGCAGGGGTGCAGGGCATTGTTAGCGACCATTGAGCAAAATCTCGAGGAGAATAGGTGAACAATTAAGTTCTATTCTGATGCACGTGGACGAATAAGCAGCCGCTCATGCGGACGGACTGTATGCAAAGGGATAGGGGGAGGATAGGGCAAAAATCCCGAATTTCCTGGAGGGTTCTATACGATGTGATCTCGAACTATTACACAACGTTTTTGCACTATGCTTTTCTATAACGTATAATGAATAATAAAATTGGTTAAAAAAAGTTTTTTTTGGGTATATTGGAAATTGAAGAGATAGATCCGCTTCACCGGACTATTCCGAGTTTTCCGGTCCGCGGCACGAAAACCAATCTTCTCCGGTAGTTTAACACCGATTCCCGATCGCTTTTCACCTTTACTCCCGCTATCAATTTTCCAACACTCTATTACGTTTACGAGAGAAACGGGAACGATGGAGCTCCATTTTTACACCGTAAACATACGTGTCGTGGAAAAACTTTCGAACCGATCGAGCGATCGGAAGGAATCGAACTCGCAGGAAATTTAAAATTGTTTACGAGTCGTTTCGGGAAACGTATACATACACTTATTTTCGAAGCGTCATTACATAAATTCGAAATCAAATATCCTCGTTAATTTTGTCGGATAACGAAATATTCAAAATTCAGAAATCCTGATTTACGTTTGCCCGCAGAAAGTCGTTTCCTTAAGTGTTCGGAGGGTAGAAAAAACCTTTGGAAAACCCATCAATCCACGACCGGCGACGTCCTCGCAATTTTTTACCTCAACACCTACAAAACACCATCAAATTTCCAAGACGGCCGCGATTTATCCTGATTTATGCATATTATATGGTCGCCTTTCCACGTTCTCATTCCACAGATAAACATAATATCGAACGGCCTTCCATCCAACACGGAATGGTGAATTATTGTTATTGCACCAAGCCTATGAAGGATACAGTTTTTCCTGCTAAATTGTATATTTTCGCCCTTATAGTTAAATCCAATAGAAATCATGCAATTCCTCTAAATACCACTGTTATACCCGAATACTAAATGTTCCAGCAGCAGTAAATTACTCGACAAGCAGGTAAATTTTCTATAACGTAATTTCTCGACAAGTATTTTTTCCAGAAGTTAATTACTCGACGAGTAATTTTTCCATAAATAAATTACTCGACTATTAAATTTTCCAGAGTAAATTACTCGACAAGTAAATTTTCCAGAGTAAATTACTCGACAAATAAATTTTCCGGCATTAAATTACTCGACAAAGTAAATTTTGGAAAAGCCAACGTGTTGATGATGCAAAAACGGCGAATTTCAATCATCAGCATTATCAGTCTTCTGCTAACGTTCCTGCGCCTAATTTAATAAGCAGAAGTGTTCCCTATTTAATGTAATAATCCGGGCCGGTTCGGACATCTATCACGACTGACGTGGCTCTGCACTTGTTCCAACATATTGGTAACACGTTGCTTGTCATCGCGTCGACCCGTATTAATATGATATGTGGAGATTGGAGTCAATAACTAGATTAGCGGAGCGTCCGCGGGAAGTCGAACGATGAGCGAATGGAGGAAAAAAGGCTGGTGGTGTGTGCGTGTGTTTTTTTTTCGGTGACGATAAGTCCGTCATGTCATAGAAATCCGTTTCTTTTTCGTTTGATTAATGAAAGCTCCGACGACGACGCTAATTAGGACAGGAAATTCCGTTATAAAATCGCTTTAATTCGTGTAATTTACCGGTCGATTTTTTTTTGCTTCGGTATAGAAATGTTTGTGCGGCTGGAAACTTTTCGAGAACTTTAAGTAGCTTATACGGCTTTACTGTCGATAAATCAAAAAAAATAATGTAGTCGAAGGGCGTAATTGGTTTTAAAAAAAACCCATCGGAAAATTAACAATGACCCTTTTCTTGCGAAACATCAAAACTTATGTATATTTATAACCCGGGGAGCGTTCCCACTACACTAAAACTTAGCGTATAAATCTAAAAAGAAAATATTCCGTATTCCAATATTTGGGCTAGGAGTTAGCCGGAGGGCAGCGCATAAATCACAATTAAATAAAGTGGGCGCTCTCGGACGGCGTGGAAAGAAACTCTCGCCCGAATTTTAGACTGCACGGCCCTTTCGCTAAGCCCTTTTATTAACACTGACGGATTTAACTCCGAAGGGACCGATTCGGCATTGTGCCGCAAGAGATTTGTTTACTTAGCGCACCTTTACGCACGAAATATATTATGCAAATAAATATAAATTTAGAAAACATCTTGTATGGAATTTAAGATGGTTTAGGTGCTTTTACTTTTTGTTGTACTATTTATCATCCTTAAGTGAACGGGATAAAATTGATTAAAAAGTAAATTAGAATTAAACGAGCAACTTATACGACGCGGAGGTTTTAATTGAAGCGAGTTACTGACGTGGAGGTAATTGTTCTAAATGTACATGCCAAATGATCGCCATTAATCATAGTTAAAAGTATCAAGTGGAAAATAAAAACCTTTCTAAATAAATATTTTTTAATGGCCGCGTCGGAACGTCGCTTTCGATGGCATTCGCGCCGGCCGAAAACTCTTCTTTCTCGACGAAATCGGAAAACAAAAACTCGCTCGGGAAAAATAAAAGAAAACCATCAAAGTTCCGCTCATTCGAGCGGATTTTTAATTAAAAATTAATGGTTACCGGTACGGTACGCGAAGCTAATCGATGTTCACGGAGGCGTAAATACATTTTTATAGAGAAGGTAAGGGCTTTTGTTCGTTTAGAACTTCACTGTGCTCCAATATTCCATCCCTAACGGACTAAATTATGTACTACTTTTTTTTAATTCGCTCTATTTTTACTTATACCAATTTTCAATTAACAGACCAATTATTATATTCTCTTGCACCCCCTTTGCTATACTAAAATAAATAAAATCTTTGCTTCTTACATCGGAATCGATCGTAATAAGTAATCCGCATCACGGAGCGTTAAATTCGAAGGAGTAATTAATTTCTCGCGGTCGTCCAGTTGGATCGAAGGACCGATCCGTCGCCGAGCCGGACGGCTTCCAGGAGCAGAAGGATGAAATATGGAGGCGAACGGGCCGGGGCTTCCCGGCCGAAAGCCAGGTAATTACTTTTCGGGGACAATGCTATCAATTAATTACTGGTGACGCGGTCTCGGCAGGTCGTCGGGACGCGACGCCGCGGCCGCTCCCGTACAGATGCAATTCCCGTTTATTTGCCCGATATAAAAAAAGGCAATATATAGGGGTTGGGGATTTGGTGGTATTGAATATGTTATTGAGGATGAATGGACGAGTAGGATTGTTGTGGTGAATACATGAAAATATCTAAATTTCATATTGGTTTTTGCTTGGAATTGTATTTACTTCTTGTTTCAGTTGATATGTCCTCCGAGTCCAATGGTATGGTTACCAATCTTTCAGTGCCTGCAACAAACCTTCCAGACGATAACCATAACGAAATCACCGAGAATCCCAATACCCTGCAGGAGAAGGGTCCTCCGGAAAACGTCTCCAACGGCATCAGCAGTCCTGGCGACTTGAAGGACCTCACCACGTCGGAGTATAGCGATGACGAGGACAGATTTCAAGTGGTGTGCGAACTTACAGGTTAGTACTTACATATTAGAAAAATTAAGCGAGACCGGACGCGTTAAAGTAGCGCGTCGTATTCGGCTCGCATTCGCGTTTTTGATGTATTTATGTGCCGAAAACTGCGGCGTGTACACGTCGTCGAGTTAAACGAAGAACGTCCGGAAATGAGCGAGGAGCGCGCGTGCCGCGTCGCTGAAATATTCCTCGTCTTCCTCTTCGAAAACACATGGAGATAAAACAATGCGATATGCATGTAAAACCGAATTCGTATGTGCGCTATCGCTTCCATTCGTCTTGTTTCCTTTCCGGTTTTCCCGGCGCAACGTCTTCTCCGGCTGGAAAATGCACCAGCAGGCCTCCAACCGGCGTTCCGCCGCTCGCGCTGTCTTTCTCCTAAAATAAAAGAAACGCATAAAATGATTTGTATAAGTTAATTCGAATGCAGCGCGAAATGGGAATGCGACAAAATTATTTTCCGCTACACGTACGCTCGGTGGATATTCGCCCTTATTTGTCAGCGTTTACCTCGCCATTAAGCGAGCGTCATCATCATTTTCTCTTAAGGCTTCATTTATTCCCGCCTCTCCGGAGTTTTTCCCGGCGCGTCCTTCACAGCACGCACCGAACTTCCCGTTCTCGTTTCCTCGCTCATAGGTTGTCACTCGCGATTTTTACATCTCATGGAGTTTTATAATCCGGCCATAAACATATCGAGATTCGGTTTTGCATATAAAAGGTCGCCGAATGGGGACCGGGAACTTTCTCCTAAACGACGTGAAATGATATTTTTCTATTTATACGTTTTTTCGTGTAGCTCCTTCATTTGATGAGTTTTTTAATATAATTATGTTGTTCTTTAGTATCTATGTTAGTAGTCTTGTTGATTTTCCGGCGATTTTGGTATCAATAACGAATTAATTAATAGTTATTTAGTGGAAAAACGAGTTTCTAAACAACGACGTCCCGCGACGAATACGAATATATCTGCTGCAGCAGCAGGAATTATGAATCCCTCGCTATGTAGAGAATGGAAAACGGTGGCCGTAATCCGCGGAGTACATTTTAAAACCAGCCACTTTCCTTAAGCTGATTATGAGTGTAAATTGAGATAAGTCCGCAATATTTATAGCACTTACATGGTATAACCTGCATGGATCCGATGTCGCTTTATGTTCGCCCAACTTTTTCCAAGAGGATTTTCCGAACGACGAGCTGACTGCAAAGTGGTCCGGCTTTTTAATGGCATATTTTTTTGTGTAAAACCTCCTATTTTTTATGAAATATTTATTTCGTTGCATCGCATTTATATAACGCGAGCGGATAGAGCGAACTGAGTCACCAGTTCTGAGCTGTTACAGTGTTACAAAAATCGCGATAAAGTGAATCCTCCACGTGGAATGATTAGCTAACGTTACTACAATGGGCCTTTTCCTATTTATGCATCGCGTTTACGACGCGAGTAGGGTGAAAGCGCGGACGTCCCGTCGAGTTCCTCAACGAACAGAACAAGAAAAAAACGAATAAAAATCGTAAATATGAATTACACCGACGCTATCACATGCCCCATTTAATTTTTAACTCTGCTCCTAAAGCGTTACTCGGGTCACGTGAGCCACTCCAAAACCTCTAAATAAACACAGAGACGGATTAGTCGCGGAATCGCCAAAAATTTGGCACCGTCACTGGACAAAACCGGGGTGGTGGGCGCACGAAGGAGAGCGGTAATGTAAGACAAACCCAACCCCATCAGCGATTTTAATTACGTTCATATTTGTGCGTTGAACCGTGGACGGTTATTGGAACGCCGGCGAACGTAACATTGTTCCTTGATTCGCCCGGAGTTCGCCCGAATGGCCGGGACCTTTACGGGGGGTCGAAATTAAACGCTCGAGGAATTCCAAGGCGCGGCCCCACTCTAATTTCCTTATGTGCCGGACCTCCACTTACTCGAGAAGAGCGTCTTCGCTAACGATTCCAGGACCGCATCTTTCGCCATCACACTTTTATTTCGTCAAGTACTAACTAACCAGTAGTACATTCCAGCCATTTTTTAACTCACTAGATTGGTACTTCTACCTCAAATCCCGTTTATAGAGCTCCAAAGTGTTTGACTTGACTTATATATCTTCTATGTCTATTATTGCACCACAATTGCTCACAATCGTATTTTTTTATTGTACATTATTATTGTACAATTTGTTTGGGTTATCTCACAGCCGGTCCTTATAAGATAGCCCGGCAGGAATTCGTTGTATATCTAGGTGCGGAACCCTTCCGGCCGTTGAAGACGGCCCTTTCGCTCCAAGATGCAGATTAATGCGCACCGGCATAACAACCCAAGAAATTGTTGCGGGGAATCGTTATCTTTAGTTTTCCCGTATAATGTCCACTAACGAAAAGGAAGCCAAAACTAAACGGCGTTGCAGTGACGGTGGTTAGACGGAAAATCCTTCGGCCCTTTCTGCATATCTTCGAGGATATTACCGAGATTATTGAAATTATTTTCCCCGGTCTTCGGGGGGGCTGGTAATCTTGGAAATTAATTTCTCTTAAGACGCAGACATTCCCCGAATAGCGGAAAAGTGATTCGCTCTAGTAGGGGATCATCGGAGATTAGTCGGTGGATGTTTGTATATTTATTTGCTTGAATATTGATTTAATAGGATTAATAAAATAAAAAAAAGCTTGTAAATATGTAGCCTATATGTATGCAGGGTTTCTTTTTAATTCAATAACACTTCTCGCGATTTGCTCATGCAAATCGCTCCGGGCGAGAAAACGCCGAAAACAACTTTACCAGCGAATAAATTTCGAAGATTTTCATTACTAACGCACCCGCCAATTTGAAGCTGGTACGTCCTCGTAACAATAAAGCAACTCCGGGCGGTTATCGTTTGACAAATACTCGGATTTATCGCGTAAATATATGGCACATGCGAAATTCCCGGAGTTGAAAAATCACCTTTAACTCATAACCTTAACAGCTGAAACTGTTTCGAGTCCTCGGCCTATCTAAGCAATTGCCTTTCCGAATTGGATCGGCCTCGCCCGAAAAACGGCCCTATTTCGGCGTTTTTTTGTTGTCTCATAGTCTAGTTAATACAGCAACTTTTATCTATTTATACGTTCTGTATCTTCTCATAAATATATTAAGTATTGTGGGTTGATTTATACACAAATGTGTAAAATATCTAACAACTTTTCGCATTAATAATACCACACTATAAGTATTGTGTACCAACAAAATAAGTGCAAATGTGTTTGCAATATGGTCAATTCTATATGGGTTGAATTGTTGAACAAAAAGATGATTAAAACAGCAGAGGGTTAGAATGAGAAATTTGCGATTCCATTACAATATTACCCTTTCTTTTTTCTTTATATGACTACTGAAAATTGTATTTGTTGCATTATATTGCGTACAAATTTGCACTTATGTGTATATTATAGTATAACCGTCGTTGACGGGACTATTTTAATGACGAGCGACCGCGTCGAAAAATCGCCCTATTCCATTTTTGATATTGAAAATCGCAGGCGACGACGACCGGGAAGTATTATGATAATTTTCTGGGGCATTGCGTGAGGATTCGTACGCGTAAACGCGAACGCGAATCTCGCCTCCTTCCTCCGGGAGGGACGAGAAAAAGCCCGGATTAAACCGGCGACGGCTTTCCGGGCGCCTCTGAACACCGGGAGGCGACACTTTTTTTTGCCTTTCGGTCGGCCGTGATTTCTCGCACACGCAACCACACATTAATGATTTTTTCGCTTTTATATTTATATACAGTTGATGCAAAACATATATCAATGCACGTCGGAAGTTTTCTGAGAAATTTCAATGTGTACTCTTTTAAGTCCATTTGTGCACAAATTTTTTTCCTCACACTGTTAAATATACTTCAGTTGATAAAGGAATTTGATAATTAACAAAGACAATCGAGCTTTGCCGTTATAAATGTTTGATGGTTATCTCTTAACGTGCTATATATAAACTATTCGTTGTGTGTAAAAATCGCGTTGATTACATATAAATGCGCGTGTAATTCGTTGGTATGGGGACGGGAAGAAGAGGTCCCGGAAATGTCCCGAGGCCGGGATAATACATTACAATTCCCCAACAATCCGAAGATGTTTGAATTTAATAGCAACATACATCATGAGCGAGAAACTTTTGCTACTATGTACTTATATACGGAGAAATGGATGTCGAGGCCACCGCAACCTCTTGAGGCCCTCGGCCGGGCCCTTTTAGTTCGGCCCAAGAATTTCCTTTCCTTCTGTAACCGCCCCCGCCCTTTCCCGTAAACTTCCTTTCAACTCGACTACACATTGGTGTAAGTAACTACACACAACACATCCCATTCGAGCTAAACCATTACAGTTTTGTATCCGCGCACCTTATCTATTCGATAATTCAGCCAGTTAACTCGAAACGAAACAAACAAAAAAAAACGGTTGCCCGTTTTTCCGCATCGCGACGCAGATTGTAAATTCCAATTAGCGTCGGTTAAATTACGTGTGTAACAATTTCATTCGGCTACATCGTTTACCGAGGCCCGACGTGTTTTCGTTTTTTGCGTGCCGCTCTCTCTCGCCAAATAATTTACCTAGCGGCTAAACGGTGCGTTAAAGCAGCCGGTGAACCCCCGCCCGGCATCGGCGCCGCGACGCACCCGAAATACGACCATACATGGTCGCTTCTAAAGAGTTTGTTAAATTCGGACCGATTATACCATCGGATCGGAGATACTGTCGAACGTTTTGACTGGTTGCCAGTAGCTATTAAACGGTATTATTTCGACGAAAAAAAACCCATCTTTCAAAGCGACGGGCCCAGACACTGGCGATTGCCAATGAGGAAGCGGAGTCGTACTCGGAACATCGAAAGTTAATAGAGCAAGTCGCGATTAAAATCGACGAAACGCCGGTTTCGAAAAGCGAAAAGGTTGTTGTCGATGGAATGCGCGGTTAATGAGGTGTCGACTTGTCCTATTGTCTACCAGAATCTGTTT